TTAACTCATCAAGAGCTTAGGACTAGTTTGATAAGCAGTGCTACAAAAAGATCCAATGGTCACTAGATTAAAAGCCTTGACTGTTTCTGAGGAACTTGAAACAATGTTTCAGTTAAAAGTATGAATCGGCTGAACATCAAGGTATAAATCAGTGAATCAAGGACAGATCACTTGAGCGCTGGAGCTTGAAACCATCTTGGGCAACATGGAAGAATCTTATCTCTACCAAAAAGGAAAAAAACAAAAATTAGCTCAGCATGGTGCTGGGCACCTGTAGGGAGGTGAAGTGAGGCTGAAGTGGGAGGACCACTTGAGCCCAGACACAGAGGCTGCAGTGAGTGGGGACTGCACCACTACACTCCAGTTTGGGCAACAGTGTGACATTCTGCTTCAAAAAAAAGTATGAATCCTTAGACAAGTTAAGAGGGTATTACAGAAATGTCAAAATCTTAAATTTTTTATCTTCTTTCTTGTGTTTTTCAAACTCTTTTACAAAGCAGATCAACTGAAAACCTAAGTTTATTTTAAACTTAAGACTGTGCATTTTCTTGTTATATTACACTAGCATTTTGGGAAGGGGAGATTAGCAGTCAGAGTCATGTAATGTAAAATACATTCTGAAGTAAATTCCAAGTGTTACCTACTAATTTAAACAAGATAAATTGGTAATTAAAATATTAATTGGGGCAGGGCATGGTGGCTCACATCTGTAAGCCCAGCACTTACAGGTCAAGGCAGAAGGATCACCTGAGTCCAGGAATTTAAGACCAGCCTGGGCAACATAGCACGACCCCATCTCTACAAAAACTTTTAAAATTTAGCTAGAAATAATGGCATGCCAACTGCTCAGGAGGATCACTTGAACCCAGGCATTTAAGCCTGCAATGAGCCATGATGGTGTCACTGCGTGACAGTCTGGGTGACAGAAGAAGACCATGACTCAAAAAACCCCCAAATTTGAAGACATTCTTTTAACTTCTAACGGCTTCACAAAACATGCTAAAAAGATTTTTCATTATTTCTCATAAATATTACAGTTATTGTTTATGCAGCTATCTCAACATTTAGGATATACCTAGATCCTGAGGACAGAATTCTAGGCTATAAACTAAGATAAATCTAGTTTCACTTCAACTCATGATTACAGAATTTAAGCTAACTTCATTCCTTTTTCATGAGTCCTACCCACTCCTTTGCCAGTACTCCAACTTTCCTTTTAATTTCCCCTAAATTTTCCTTAAACTCCAGCTAAAGGATATACACATAGCCTCTTATTCTGAGTATCAAAGCATTCCATATTCAAGTTACTTCCTATCCTACAGATAGGGCTTTTCAGTGGTAAACAAACCAAATACCAGTATATTCACCATATTACACATAATAGTCTTAGCTAAGAAGTTATATTACATTTATAAAGATTTCTTATTTCCATATATATGACATATATATTATATGCATATATCATATACATATATGTATACCTATATATAACATATACATATATATATTATATATATATATAATCACAAGATATAATTTCAGAATCAGCTAAGGATTAAAAGAGTATCAAAATATGAATACGTTATTACATGGAATATAGACTGGTTCTTAAAAGTTAATCAAATGCTCTGTTTAAGGGACATGTAAAGGTAAATCTGTAAATAAGAAACTAAAAGATTATGGAAAAGAAAACTTATTACAGAACAAAAGCAGGTTCTCTGTTAAAGAAAGCAGAGACCAAAATGATTTCATACGTAAATACCTAAAGCAATAAGGCAAGTTAAACTAAGAAATAACTACAAAATACCGAATAGATGAACTATGGAGTTCATTATTGTGGTGGGTTAAATGGCAGCCCATTTTAAAAATGTGTCCACATCCTAAGCCCTGTAACCTGTGAATGTTTTCTTATTTGGAAAAAGGATCTTTGTAGTTATAATGAAATGAAGAATCTTGAGATGAAGAGATCATCCTGGATTATCCAGGTGGACTCTAAACCCAATAACAAGCATCCTTCTAAGAGAAAGGGAGGGTGAAATGTGAGACAGAAGAGGCCAGGGCCAGGATTGTGAGGCCAGGCTGAAGTGACCCTGGCCCCAAGCCAACGAATGCTGCCAGTCAAGAGAAGCTGAAAGACACAAGGAATGGATTCCCCGCTGGGGCCTCCGGAGAGAGTACAATCGAGCCTACACCTTGATTTCAAAGTGCTGGCCTCCAGAATCACAAGACAGTAAGTTTCTACTATTTTAAGCCACTTAGTTTGAGGTGATCTGTTTTGGCAGCACAGGAAAGTAACGCAAGTACTTGAATCAATGATCTGTGCTTGGCAGGTAAACCATAGCTTACCTAGTAAAGAGATTTAAGTTGATTTTCAAAAAGCCTCAAACTGTGAAATACATAAAACTTATAAAATGCTTATTACTCATTCTAAAGAAATAAATGGTGAAGAAAGTACCCAGTTGAGTTTCAGTACTAATGAGAGACTCTGAAAGGACCTAAAAGGATAAACAAGTTATAAAGAATAATTTTAGTAGCATTGACTGAAATATTTCTCTATTTCAGAGATACATATAAAAATAAAGTAGTGAAATTACAGAAGAAAAAAATGATATTTACCTAGACTCCAAGGAAAATCCAAGTAAACTTGTTGGAAGCAGGTTTGCCTGCCAAGCACAGATTACACATTTCATGGACCTACTACATCTCTTTACCTCAAAAATTCTAGGCAAAAGAAAATATTCTGCAAGAACTACTATGAACCATTCATTTTTCAAACCTGTAGTTGAAAGGCATAAAAATGTCACTAAAAAAAAAAAAAAAAAAAACTTTAATTTAAAAATGCCTCTTTGATGTATACAACAAACCTTTTATTTAAAAACTTAGAACCTCTTAAATTACAACTCCCTTCAGAAATGAGTCAACAATATTTTCTACAGAACAAGAGAATCATCACCAGCCTTGCAAATGAAAGCTGATAAAAAATTTTCAAGAAAAAAAGAGTATTGTGACAAAACAAGAAAAACAAGCTAAAAATTGTAATCAAAACATCTCAGTGACAAAGTCAATGGTAAAAAGTCATAGGTAAAAAATAAGGTGACAGAACATCACTATAACTCTTGTTCCTTTGGGTCTTATATTTGGAGACAGCCATTTATTCCTCTATTGATTTAATCTTGAAGGAAACAATCAAAAATATTGAAAGGTAGCACTGGGTACACAGGAAATCTAGATTCCAGAAAAAGACCCTAAGAAATTCAAAATATCCTTCTCTCTATTACTAAACAGAAAATAACTCTTTGCCCGCCTCCAAACAATAAAAACAAAAATGTAGGAAAAAGAAACTCTTGGTTTTAAATTTGTATTAAATGTATTCATAACCTGAATTTGATGATCATTGAGCAATCAGTTATAGGATTCCTAAAGAACTTCATCAAGGAACACACAGTAAACAAAATTTTGAATTATATGTAAGGACCCTCAGGCAACCTTTCACAAATGTATGAAAATTAGTGCTGGATGCTAGTTCCTTTTATTTGAATGGCGGGGGACGACATTAGATTAAATGTTTTAAAAATCACTTGCTGGAAAATCAAGAAGCAAATTGGAGCTCTGCAGTCAGCAGTATATAAGGTAAAGTATGTAATTTCAGAAACACTAAGTTTTACAGTCATTTTAAAAAATAAGAAATTGCCAAACAAAGCATCCTTCAATGGTATATTCTGCATCATACTGTGTGGGAGACTCTATACTCTTTGAACAAAAATAACATAACCCAGCGCAGGTAGAATTACTTTTTTAACAGGAGAATGACTTTGTGTTCTGAGCTTATATCCCAGCCCAGGCCAGCTGTCATATGATGTGAAAGTAAAAACTTCATCATGATAATGATCATGTATTTAGACAAACTTGAAGTTATCATGTAAAGGAAAAAAATAGCCTGAATTATTGCGATTTTTAAATCAGGCTCATTTTAAAACTCAATTACCCGGAAACCACGGTCTAGAACAGCAAGGAGACAGGGATACTGACTTAAATGGAGACCCTGGCCTCTCCTAATTCCTTCCCGGCAAACAATTTGCAACTGGGGCCATCAAGGGTCCATCAGCAGTGCAACTGCAAACTAAATATAGTAGCTGACCACAGGGTAAAAACAGCTGCTCTAAGTGGAAAAAAAAAAAAAAAAAAAGTTAGACAAAATGATACCGTCCCATTTTCCCCATCCCACCCTAACCCTACCAAGAAAAGTAAAAGAGGACTAAGTGGACATCAGGAATAACCAAGAATATAGCTGTTCTTTCAAACTGAGAAATAAAAGGAAAAGTCACATTTGTAATTTTTTTATAACATTTCAAGTATCTACTGTTAAGAGGGCCTTCTACTTTTATGGTTTGTTTCTCAAATGTAACCTACGAATCCAAACTACAAAGAAACAGTAGCAGAAAGAAAGCAATCAGGCAACAGATCACCGACACAATTAAGCTCAGTTAAAACTGGCAACAATTGTATCTAGTTAGGCTTCTACCGTAACAAATGTATTCATTTCCTCGTCCAGCTTTCACTTGTCCTGGGGGGAAGAATACAAGACAGAATTGTACTTCCGTTTCAAGAGAAGGTCATTGTAAAAGCGCACTTCGGAGGGCAGACATCTACGGGCTGTTCCAACATGCCCACCTCTTTGGACCAAAGACCAGAAACTGCCAAACGCGTGTCCTATTTAAAACGTGCATCTACACCCACTTTGCTAAGCAGCATCAGACCCGGGCGAGGGGCGGGGAAAGCGGCGGCTGGTCCCACTTGTAGCCTCGGAACCACGCAGCCACCGCTTCCTAGAGAGCGATCTCCGCGGACCCGCAGGAAGCAGGAGCAGAGAGAGGGCGGGGAGGCGGCACGTGCTCTCCCGGCTGGGTCCGCCGCGCCGGCCTGGCGACCCTCGCCACCTGGGGGGAGCTCCCCCGGGAGCTCGGATGAACGCCGAGGCCCGGGAGCGGGAGGCGGCTCACCTGGACCCCGGTGTAATTCTCGAAGAAGAAGAGCACCATGCTCTGGTAGACGCAGTAGAGCCGATCGTCCAGCGCCTGGTAGAAGCGGGAGGGCAGAAAGGCGGAGAGCAGCCGCCAGACCCCCCAAGCCAGCACGTAGGTGGGCGCTGTGCCCAGGAGCACGACGCTGGGCAGCAGGTAGCGCATGGAGTACGTGTGGAGCACCAGGGACAGCAGCATCTTCTCGGCTCCTCGGCAGCCCGCTCCGCCTGCGTTCCCCGCCCGCCGCCCGGGCCTGAGCCGCGGCCAGCAGGCGGCCAATCACCGCTTGGGCCCGGGCCGCCGCGCCCGCCACCCGCTCCCAGCCTCCGCCCCCAGCCGCATGGACTGCGCCGCCGCCGGGAACGGGGTGGGCGACTGCGGGGCTGGGTGCGCTGCTCGCGGCGGCGAGGCAAGGGCACCCGCGGCCCTCCGGCTCTACGGCTCAGGGGCGCTCACACCCCATGACCCTCAGCCACAGCCACATCCCCCCCCTGCCGGGGGCGGGGCTCCGCGGCAATAACACGCCTTCTGATTGGTCTCCCGTTGCCATAGTTCCCCATCGGCGACAATAACACGTCTCCTCAGTGGTTGACTTTGGCCAACAGTTGCCGCACAAAGTGCCTACCGAGCACGCGGGCAGCCCGGCTCCGGCCACTGCGCATGCTCCCCAGCTGTCCCTGCTGCAGACTGGCAGAGCTGGGTGAGCGGTTCCGGCCGGAGGAGGGTCCAGGTGCCTCTTGTTCTGCTTCCCCGGCCGGACGTGCGTTCGGGCAGGCCAGAGGGTCGCTGGAGCTGCCTGGAACGTGCATCTCCTGCCCGCAGGCCCCTGGGCGCCGGGGAGCACCCAATTAGAGCAGAGAGAAAGGGGGTGCTAGCGTTGTCAGAGGTCCCAGATTGTGTGCAGCTCGGGTATCCCCATCTGCTCACTGCGGGTCCTCAGCACTGGGATGCCGCCGCCTCAGCTTCCCCTCTGCGTGCGCAGCAGCCCTCACCGCCCGTTTCTCTCCACCGGGGTGTTGAAGAATTAGGTTTCGTGTTTTTCCCATAACAGCAGTGAGGATCATTACAAGTTTATGCGTGGCCGAAGAACCATCCCACAAAGATATTTTTATACTGTTTATTAGACCTTTTCAATATTCACCCTTGCTTGATTTCTCCAGAGCCTGTTGGACTTGTTTTTGATTTTTTTTTTTTTTAATAAGGAGCCTCATTTTTTTTTTTCTGTAATGATTAAAGTACTTGGGTGTACATGTAGAACCCATAAAATACATACTTCTGTAGCCTTCACTAAAAGCTAGGAAGGCTGGGTAGCTGTTTTGTTGATTTTAAAGCAGATCCACGGGCTTTCTGGATACTTCCCCCACTTTGGCTGCAGTAAAAATGGTTTAATATGTAACACTTTTCAAGGGTAGTTTACTTTAAAAGAATGCCAAATGCTTTTACCTTAAATACATATATATTATATAGTATATATATATATATTTCCTGCCTAATGGAAGCCTGTGCTACCTTTAGGCAGAACAGCATTTCAATGGAAAGTTTTAATCGGGGCCAGGATGGTTGCTTTCTTTATACATGATTAACATCAAGTAACATCATTGGTGGCTGGTGACCTTTGGGGATAAAGCCAGGTGAACAGAGATCTCTCAAGTAACAAGTATTTGAGGGCCAGCAGGAAGCATTACACAGTAGAAAGAGCTTCTCTACCTTTCTGTGGCTGTCATTGCCCTACATTGTAAGAACTAGGTTTAGTACTGGAGGGGAAAAGTCACAGGTGTGGACAATGTGCACAACTAATGGTCCTCACACTTTCTTTAACTGAGACCAGACATCCCCTATGCTAGAACAATGTGTGAAAAGATAAAGCAGGTTCTGTGCTCACATTAGGATTGCTGTGTATAAAGTCAATAAATACATGTTTCCGTGTAAATTTGTTACTGTGAATTACCCCAGATTACTGTTAGTCACCAAGTTGTAAACTTTTGTGCAATGTTTGGCATGGAAACATGGAACTGAACTTTCTCCTGTTCCCTTTTTATCTTCAAACCCAGCTCCTGACTTTTACAATTATTCTCTGTGCTGCTTACTTCCTCTCCTCCTTTGAACAGTCACAGATCCACCCTCCCTTTCTGCCACGACCCGTCTCTGTTTCTCTTTCTCTCTCTCTCTCTCTCTCTCTCTCTCTCTCTCTCTCTCTCTCTCTCTCTTTCCTTCCTTCCTTTTCCATGCAAACCTCTTGAAAATCAGTCCCCACCCTCTGCCTCCTTACCCTGTACTTTGGTTGAGCCCTTGGCAGTCTGATGACCTTTTCCACCCCTCTACCAGAATGATGCTTCTTTCAGAGCACAGCTGACTTCCTCTTCTGTATACCCTGCTGGGCACCAGTGGAACAGTGAAAAGCAGATTCTATGTGTTCCTGGTATATTTAACAAGGAGTTACCTGTGGGATGAAAAGGGGACATTCGTGGTTCTGTGGGAGCATATATCAAGGCAATCTAATTTAGTATGGGAACAAGGAAGACTTTTCAGGTAAAATGATATTTAAAGTGACGCTTGAGGGAGTTAGTGGGCCCTCCAAGGGAGAATGGCACATTTGAATGCCTGAAGCTGAGAGAACATCGTATTCTCATGAATAGCATCAGAGTGGGCCATAATGGTCTTTTTTAAATTTGTTGAGATGCTCTGAAAGAACGCTGTGTATTCCTATCACACATTCTTAAATTGATATTTAAATGTTTTTATCAGCTGGGCGTCATGGCCCATACCTGTAATTCCAGCACTTTGGGAGGTCAAGGAGGAAGGATTGCTTGAGCGATTTGTAGAGTGAGACTTCCATTTCTACAAGTAATTCTTTTTAATTAGCTGGGTGTGGTTGTGCACACCTGCAGCCCCAGCTGCTCAAGAGACCGAGTTGGGAGGACTCGTTGATCCCAGGAGTTCAAAGCTGCTGAGAGCCGTGATCGCACCGCTGCACACCAGCCTGGGCAAAAGAGAAAGACCCTGCCAAAAACAAAACAAAACAAAACAAAACCCACAGACTTTTAATTATAGTCACAAAAAGAAGTAAGTTCTGATGAGTTTTTAATAATGTTGTAAAAATAAAGTGATTACAGAAAAATTTTAAATATATGCAGTGAGTTATAAATACCATGGTGATTTAATACCCCATCATTCATCTCAAAGCTACTTAAGCCATGGACAAGTTGAAAATTTTGCATTGATCATTTTTCTCCCTGAAAATATTTTTATTTCACTTCTGCCACAGGATTCTACCTTAATTGAATATGCTTTATCCCTTAAAGTCTTTTATTGAGTAGACCATATCATTAGGGTTCTAAGAAGCAAATTTTCTTCTGGATTGAACCGTTGCTATTATTAACAACAGACACTTTAATCAATGTATTTCACAAAATCTGATAAGGAATTGTAGGCAAAAAAAGTTTTACTAGAAATGCAACTCTTAGTGGTGCCTTAATTAAATTTTCTCTGTTGGTATCCTCAGGGTTATGCCTTTCTACCTCAGCAAGGCAGCACCACGTTGTAAGATTTGGGATGTGCCAGGTGGGAGAGGAGCCTGACATTATGAAATGTCAGGTGGGTCTGGACTCCAGGAGTCCTCAGGCAGATCAGTTTTAGAAGAGTTGAGATCTGAAAATTGAATCCCTTAAAACTTTTCATGACCGCATGTGTCAGCATTCTCAAGGATACCCGTGCCTCCACTGGAAGATTGTTTTTACAAAAGCAATTGGGGTAAGGAAAGGATGGTAGGAATTGAGTCCGGAAAGGTAGGCAAGAATCAGAACACAGCAGGGTCTTGGGAGACACATAAACATTTTAAGAGTTTATCCTAAATGACAGGGAAGCTACTGAGATTTTAAGGAGAGGAGTGCCATGCTTATATTTGATACTTTTAAGTTGTTCAAGCATTGCGGAGAGTACATTTAAACAGTCTGGAGACATAGCTAGGCTCCCAGGTAGAAAGCATGATAGTAGCTTAGCCTTTGATGGTGACCACGTATGGAGAGAAAAATTAATCCATCATGTACAGCCTTCTTGGAGGGAAATTTGACAGTATGTTCTAAGAATGGACAGTGATGTGATTTGGATCTGTGTCCCTACCCAAATCTCATTTTCAGTTGTAACCCCCAATGTTGGAGGTGGGGCCTGGTGCAAGGCGATTGGATCATGGGGGCAGTTTTCTCATGGATAGTTATCACTATCCCTTTTGGCACTGTCCTCAGGATAGTGAGTGATTCTCACAAGATCTGGTGATTTAAAACCGTGTAGCACCTCTCCCGTCACTTCTGTTCCTGCTCTCCCTTCTTTCCACCATGATTGTAAGTTTCCTGGGGCCTCCCCAGAAGTTGAGCAGATGCCAGCACCATGCTTCCTATATAGCCTGCTGAACCATGAGCCAGTTAAACCACTTTTCTTTATAAATTACCCAGTCTCAGGTACTTCTTTATAGCAATGCAAGAACAGCCTAATACAGATACCCTTAATTAGTCAATCTACTTAAGTGTACATCAGTAGCTCCCCTGTAGGAAATGGCACTGTGAATACACAGTACTGATATGTGACATGGCATGCAGCAGTTGGACAGGAATAAATAGCCCTAAATACACAGTCATGGAAAGATCTTCAAGACACTCGGTGACAAAGCAAGTTGCGGGATAATGCATGCACTATGATCTTATTTCTGTACAAACTAAATATATATTTCTAAATGCAAATGTCTAGAAAGTATTTGGGAAGATACACTGATGACAGCAATTATCTTTTGGGAAGAAGAGTAAGATCACATGAAGGTCAACTGGACTTTCTGTATCGTGTCAGGTTTTTGCAAGGAACTACTGATTTAGCAGACTCAGTGCCTTTTAGACACCCCACATCACGCTGGGTGTCAGAGACCATGACCTTGAGCAGAAAAGGCCCAAAGGTGATCCTTATGATCTGAGTTGGGGTGAACGGCGAGTGAGGTTTACTTATTACACAGACTATTAAAAATGAATACAAACAAATTAAAAAAAAAAAAAACCCAAGGTTGACCTTTTGTACAAAGCAGCTACCAGGTGTGATCCACAGGAGTTAGTTGACTGGTGGTGACAGAGGAAGAGAAAGAAAGGAATAAAGAAGCCTTTCAGGTTTCGTGCTTGACTAATGGGCAGAATTTGGTTTCACCCACTGATGGTATGGCAACAAGTTTTATAGGGTATGGAACTTACTTCTACAAAATTAGATTTGAATATGGATATATATTTAGAGTGAGAAATCAGAAATTTTTCAAAGCTAACATACCACTGTTTAAAACTCAATGTGTTGAATTTTTCTTTTTTGAGGTCTCGTTAGTTCTTATTACCTATTCATGAATCAGGTAGCATCTCATCCATAAAATAGAGCGAGCTTCCTGAGCTGAGCAGAGGACGTGGGCTTTGTAAGCTGAAGAGGGTTAAAGAAGCAGAAACTGAACAAAAAGCACATTGGTCATTTCAAAGTTACTCTCCTTATGTGGCTG